TAATAATAGAATATTTCATCCTATAAAGATCATGTAAATTCATTCTAAAAAATTACTTTAATAATAACAATAATTTTCATGATGAATGTAATTTAAGATATCTTACTATAAGAAATCATATTTGATGGCAATTTTTTATGTGACATGGATTACCAAAGTCAAATGCAATAGCGTGTGTGTGATGGGTAACCACTCAGGATGACCTGAAGATGGTATGTGAAATGTTGTGTCTTGATGGTAAACACGTGCATGCTATTTCGATCTGAAAGGAATGTGGTGAGGATGTGGCCTTCAATGATTAGGTTCTGACTGGTGACAAATGACAGTCCCTTGTGAACAGGGTGATGAAGCTATGGGTTCCACTCCTTAACCAGAACCCTGAGTGGTGCTGTTACCTTCCTGAGCAACAGCAGCTTCTCATCCTTCAGAGTCTTCTCAAACACAGTTTCAAGTCTGAAGCAATTGCTGACCACACTCTCTGTGTCAACTTTCTCACGAGCCAGGAGGCAGGCCCCATCAGCAAGGGCATTCACCGCAGTCTGCAGCAGTTCTGTATGAAGCAGGATGTTGGATGCAATGACCAGTGTGCAGTTGTGCTCATCCCACAGTTCATGTTCCTCAACCTTGATCCCTGTCATGTCCAGGTCTGTCCCTAATAGGTCATGGGCCTTTGCCAGAACTGTTATGTCTCCCTGTAATATTCAGAATAAAATCAAGTTCAATTATTGCTACTGCAAATATATAAATCAGGACATACCAATCAGGTTCTAGCAGAACTGATCTAAGGGACTCAAATATTCCTTTTACTGTAGGTTCTTACTTTCCCTGTCAGTTTCCATTCCATGACACACGCAATAGAAACGGTGAATGAGGCTGTGAATAACTCATGACTGAAGCTTAAGTGATGCTGCATCCCACATTGTTATACTTGCCTTTAGAAGTGGCCTGTCTGCAAGGATGAGTGCCACAGCAGGTGCAAGAGGTGTGAAGCCTTGGGTGTGCAGCTCCACCACCTTCACTTGGGTGACAGGCTTGTTCTCCACAGTGATGTCCATGCACACCCGCAATGCAGTGTGTAAGTCCAGTTCTGCTGGTTCTACATTCGGTGTTAACACATATTTCTCCAGCACAGGCTTGCTCAGAGGTTTGCGCTGAGATATAGCACTTGTTTTCAGTCCTCGAAATTCCACACCTGCTGACTGGATGATAT